TACAACGATTTTCATCCGTCCTCATCTGGTGAGATCGAAAAACGAATCTCTTCCTCATGTACTTTCATTCGAAATGAAGTTCCCCCTAACAACATTACAGTAATTATAACAAAATAAGGAAGACAAGCAGCAGCCTTGAAGTGGCTTTCGGACAACTTGTAGTCACTAGGACGGTCGAGTAATTGTTCTTGACTGTTTAAAATGCAGCATAAAAGAGAATTGTTGTTGATTTGGTTGATAGGGCGACCGTCTTGAGGAGTGGAAGTTCGCCAGAGCTAGTCTTTGGATGGTCTACATTGAACACGAAGGAGTTCTACCGGTCCCCTTCAACCTGTTGCCATCGCATGAGGCCCTCTCTACACTTTACAACCGACTCCGAGGCAACCGGTCCCCTCGACGTCCTTTCGACAAGGTCTCGAATCCCTGCGGCTTGACTTTGTCCCGGCCGGTGGGACGAACGACCAGCGCCTGCGGCCGAAAAGGGGACAAAGGCAGGCGCAGGGCTGGGGAAAATCAGGTGAAGCTGAAGCAACTGGTCGGTCCTGAGGCTTGGGGCAAGTTGGCCAGAAAAGGCGATTGGCAACAGCAGGACCAACCGCCTGTCGGAACTATGGGACCACGTACCATTTCGGCCGACTGCGACCAGCGCAACCATTCCAGCGCGGGACAACGAGCCGACAGTTGGGCCTCCATTCAACTCGATGACTACGACAGCGAGAGACAACGGCGAAAGGCCTCGGTAAGAAAGATGAGTGGAAAAAGGAGTAAGGCATAACAGCGGACAGATGCCAAAGTATGCGAATACGGTAAAATGGTGGAATCTAAGAAACTTTAAACTGCCGAGCCAAATTGGCCGGAACAAATGAATCTGAAGGGGAAATCAAAGTATAGCGCAAAAATAAGTGAATAAAGATTTAGGTAATAAAAATAATATGGAGTAAGGTCTAAGAGGTATCAAGTTAGTCAGAAAGAAGTGATCGTACTAATTTAAAGCCATATTGAATAGGGAAAAGAAAAAGTAGATAGTAAATATGATAGACTGAAAAAGAAAACATTAGAAAATCCAGAACATATAAATGTCGTGATAATATAAAAACGAAGGATATTGATTTATTGAGATCAGATGAGATAAAAAGAAATAAGAGGAAAAAAGATGAGAAGAAATGAGATGAAATGAGATGAGATGAGATGAGATGAGATGAGATGAGATGAGATGAGAT